GGTAGAGGCAAGAAAGTCCACCTAAGCTATCCTAAGTCCTAGACGGGATTTCCTTGCTCGGACTCTGTCTCCACTTCCACATGATTTTACAAATGCTTTTGGCTAAGGTGCAACCCCGCCCCACCCCAGGATCTGGCCTCAAACATTTCTTATGATGATTCCCTGGTTGCCCTTAAGATAGACTTACTGCTGTGCTCTTGTCGGCCTCCTTGGCCCCCTTCAGTTTAATTATCTTGTTTAGAATTCTGTTGCTCACATCTCTGGTTAAAGCGAAGTATTAAAACTATTGTTCCTCTGGCCCAACAGCCCACTGATAGGTCACATTTTGGTCAGTGCAATGTTTACAAATCTGAATTCATGTATCTTAGGTGGAATAAGAACCCTCCAGCGCCCATAACACACTTCTCACGGTCTTACTCTTAGCCACTTTACAGTTGTTTGTTTATTTTAATTTGACCAGAGAGGAACAGAATGAGAAAAGCAAGACAGATAGAAAGTGAGAAAGCAAGCCACCAGGTCCAGGACTAGAACTATGGTTGCCCTTGTGGGAGTCGAGTCCCTTTAACCACCACGCCACCTGCTGGCCCACCACTTTACAGTTTTAATTTCCTGCCCAACCACCAAGGGTATCTGAGTTTGAGGCCCATGGTCTAATTATTAATTTTTTAAAATTTATTTTCATATTTTTAGAGAGAGTTTCTTTTTTTTGTTTTGCTGTATGGTAGGTGCGCTTGCCAGAGACAAGAGAGAGACAGACAGACAGAAAGCAAAAAATCATAGTCTAGGGGAGTGGCCGTGCTGCAATTCCTTCTCCTCCATTCTCCTCCTAGGACTTTGGGCACGCACACACACCTAGCATGAGTTTTAAGTCACTGGGTCTGGGATTTGAACCGCGGTCAACTATGTGGGAGTCCAGCAATATAACCATTACACCATCTGCTGATCCCTAATTATCACTTATTTTTAATAAGCCTCTTTGAGAATTAGTGAAAGATGAAGATCTTTACGACATGCATACATTTTTATTCAGTTAAGAAAGCCCTGGTTTGGGACCAGCAGTTAGCGTAATGGCTATGTCGCTGGACTCCCATGTAGCCGACCACAGTTCGTATGCCGGACCCGGTGGCTTAAAACTCACGCCGGGGGCGTGTGCGTGCATGCCCAGGATCCCAAGAGGAGAATGGAGGAGAAGGGATTGCGGTGTGGCCATCCCCCCTGGGGGGTGATTTCTCGCTTTCTATCTTTCTGTCTCTGTCTGTCTGGCGAGCGCAAGCGCCCTATAGCAAAAACCTCTAAAAAAAAACAAAAACAAAAAAAAAGAAAGCCCTGGTTTAAAACCCAAACTAACTGCTACCTCCCCCCATTGTTTATTCTTCAGTGGAAAGTAACCACTCTCTCCTTGAATGTTCTGACAGCTTTTTGTCCACCAGAAGATTTACTCTCAAGTAATTAAGCTTTCCTACTATGTATCATCACTATTTCTATGGGAAACTCAGGTCCTTAAGCTCAAAGTTCAAATTCTTTCTACTGATATATCTCAGTATCTTATTCTCTGCCCACATACTAAATATTAGACTTCCCTATGGTCCCACCCTTGCCTCTTTCTAAGGCAATATACTCACTTCCTCAGTAATCTTTTACATCTGCATGATTTCAACTTTCATGCCTAGATATCTCCCTTAAGTATCAGACCAACATGTCTTACTGGACATCTTTTCTCGATAGTTCTTGAGATATTCACTTGTGGGACCAGTAGTTAGTGTAATGGCTATGTCGCTGGACTCCCACGTAGTCAACCGCGGTTCGCGTCCCGGACCCGGTGGCTTAAAACTCACGCCGGGCGCGTGTGCGTGCGTGCCCAAGATCCCGAGAGGAGAATGGAGGAGAAGGGATTGAGGCATGGCCATCCCCCCTGGGGGGTGATTTCTCACTTTCTGTCTCTATGTCTCTCTCTTTCTGTCTGGTGAGCGTACACGCCCTATAGCGAAAACCTCTCCAAAAAAAAAAGAAAAGAAAAATTCAAGCCTGAATCCATAAAGAAGCTTGTATTTCTTTTTTTGGGAGAGGGTTTTGCTATAGGGCGCGTGCACTCGCCAGACAGAGAGAGAGAGAGAGACAGAAAGTGAGAAATCACCCCCCAGGGGGAATGGCCACGCCGCAATCCTTTCTCCTCTTTGGACATGTATGCACACGCACCCGGTGTGAGTTTTAAGCCACCAGGTCTGGGACTCGAACCATAGTCGACTACATGGGAGCCCAGGGACATACTGGGTACATACGCCAACTGCTGGTCCCCAAGCTTGTATTTCTGAAGAAAGTAATTTAGTGAGAGTATGAAAGCAATTTACTACATGAAGAAAAGAGGGAGGGGCTGGCAGGTAGTGTGGTTAAAGGCGCTGGATTCCCACGTGGCTGACCATGGTTTGAGTCCTAGACCTGGCAGTTTGCTTTCTCACTTTCCCTTTCTCTCTTTTGGTCTGTCTCTGGTCAAATTAAAAAATAATAACAAATGAAATAAATACATAAATATTTTAAAGAAAAAAGAAAAGAGAGAAAAGATAGACAAGGGATGATGCTACGATAAACACTAAGAACCCTCCCTCTGATCTACCTCCTCCACAACTGGTCTTTCTGTCTACTCAGTGCATCTTTCCTTATCTGGTGCCTCTGGACTTGGATCTGGGCTCTCCGTCACCTGGTGACCTCCATCCAGTCCCAGGGGCCTAAAATACCTACTATGGGCCCAGCTGCAGCGACATGGTAGTAACACAACCCTGTAATGCTGGCAGCCATAGGGAAAATCAAGGTTTGGCTCCCAGATCAACCTGTACATGTGCATGGCCAAAGATTACTCCTTTTAGGAAACTGATTTTTAGGGGCCCCATGGCACTCTATACAGTTTTCTACCTAGCTATAAGTTTGATAACTTTTTGAACATTTGTAGGCCTCTTTCAGCCACTTCACTTGCCTCCAAACACAGGAATCTTCTCTTTTTCTTTTTTTGGAGAGGTTACTGCTATAGGGCGCATGCACTCGCCAGAAAGAGAGACCCATAGAGACAGAAAACGAGAAATCACCTCCTGGGGGATGGCCACACTGCAATCCCTTCTCCATTCTCCTCTCAAGATCGTGGACACACACGCACACACACATGCCTGGTGTGAGTTTAAGCTGCAGGGTCTAGGACTCAAAACTCAAACAGCAGTCGACTACATGGGAGTCCAGTGACATAGCCATTATGCCAACTGCTGGTCCCACAGAGAAATCTTTTCTAATCTCCCTTTACCTTAGTTTCATCTGACCACAGTAGGTGCTTCAACCATTTTTGTTCAATGCATAAGTGAATGAATTAAGAAAAAGGAAAGAAAAACGAGAAAAAAAAGGGTTTGACCCAGAATAAGAATCTAGTCACTAAAAGCTTTCCACTGACCACTGCCCTTCCCATTTAGAACTGTTTAGCCCTCCAGTGGAAATGTGTATTCTAGTCAGGACTTGACCTCTCTGGACCAACACTTCCCTGGATGCGGCCTACCTGCCAATTATGTCCTTAGGGTCGTACTTCTGGTAAAACTCCTTGGCCGCGGCCCAGTCAGGTAGCTCATCCTCCGGCCCCACATCCAGCGTCATTCTGAAGGAGGTGGGGGACTGTGCAGAGGAAACGGAGGGTAGTGAGGGCAGGGAGGCCCACAGGCTCTGAGACGAAGCACATCGCGGCTCCCGGAGGCGCAGCCCTTGCGGCTGGGGCGCCAGGGTCCTGGGGGGGTGGGGACAGGGAAGGGGAAGGATCGGGACTGGGGAGACCCCTCAAAAGGGCCTAAAGGGCGGGAAAGGTGGCAGGGCAGGAAAGGGGGGCGGGGGAGGGGAAGGGAAAAGGTGCACAGGAAGAAGGGGGAATGGGCACAAGGTAGGCGGCTGTTGCCGCGCAGGCGCACTTGGACTGGTGCTAAGAAGGGGCGCAGGGTCTCGCGCAGGCTCACCCGCGGGGGCAGGCAGAAAGACCAGAGTCGAACAAGACCGCTCTGTGGCCGGGTTCGCTTTTAGTCCCTTTCCGTACTTACCCAACAGCAGCGCCCCTGACGCCCGAAGGCTCCGCCCCCACCCTGTCACCCAATGACTAACACCGCCTGAAGACTA